TTTGATGAGAAACAATATTTTTATAACTTGAAGATATATTCTATAAGATACTTATTAGTTAAAAAGGGAAAACATTAGTAACTTTACAGTAGAGAAACTTGGCAAGTGATCAAAGTTCATATCACTGTTGTTGAGACAAAAATGGCATTATGTGCCTCCCATGATGCACTGAGCAGGACACAAAGCACTTCTCTGATAATCTTGCCACAAATACATAACCAGAATCTAAAAAGAAAAATTAGAGCCAAATTGAGGGACATTCTACAAAATAAATAGCCTATACTCTTAAAAAATATCAAGGTCATGGAAAACAAGGACTGAAGAAACCTTCCAGATTAAATAAAGAGATATGACGAATTAATGCTGTGCATGATTCTGGATTAGGTCCTGAATCAGGAAAACAGAAATGTACTTATTCTTTAAGAATTCAAACTGAAATAGAGTAAAAGGACTTATGCTTGCAACCTAAACAGTTCAGAGGGAAAAAAAAACTCTTGGTATGTGTTTGTGTGTAAGAAGAAAACACAGTGGAGAAGAATGATAAAGTAAATGTGGTAATATGCTAACATTTGAGAAATCTGAGCAAATGTTGTACAGAAATTCTTTATACAATGTCTGTAGCTTCTCTGTAAGTCTAAAGTTATTTCAGAATAATGTTTTTGTTGTCTTTTTTTTTTATGTAAACAGAAAATACCAACAATTGCTTGTGCTGTGCCAGTACGCCTATTGTTGGCTCTATACTGACACTTGAACTCTCGTTAATAAACTACTACTAATTCCAGCTCTTTGCCTCTTAAAAAAGAAATAAATAATCTGCATTGAATTTTATAAATTAAAACTTTATAAATTAAACATTTGTAAAAATTTCAAATAGTGAGAAATTGTACGAAAGTATGTTCCTGCACCCCCTTCTTCTAAGGTCACCACTATTAACAGATTGGTTGTCTCATTATAAACATTTCTGGACTTAGACATCAGTGTGTGTGTGAGTGTGTGTGTGTGTGTGTGTGTGTGTGTGCGCGCGCGCATGCATGCGCATGTTCTCGCAAACATGGGCAAGCATGTAACACACACATACCTGGTCCCTTCCTCCCCTTTATGTCCATACTATAAAACATTATTGAGTATCATTTTTTGAAAAAAATCTAATATAGCCATGGACATCCAATAAGTACGTGTCACTTTGCCTCATTCTTTATCATGTTTTCCCTTCTAAATGAATGATTCATTTGTCCCTGAAACTCAAGGACCATTAATTCACTTTAATGGTGGAACCATTTGTAAACACTGGGATAGCTGATAGCTCACTGAATTGAAGCACTGTGTATTGTGCCAAACAAAACTGTCATCAAGCATCAAGGTACTGTGAGGATCTCAGTTTTCTCTAGTAGGAGGTGAGGTGACCTTCACTTTCTATATGGCTACTCAAGGTTGAAATTCCCAAAAGAGAATATGTGTTTTATCACTTTTGGTATCATCTGTCCCTTAAATGATCACAGAAGTAAGGGCACAGTACACAGACCTTGCTCTAGGTGCCCTTCCCAAAAAAGAAGAACCAACAGGTGCAGCTGTCCACCTAGCTTCCCTTCCCAGGGCTGTTATTGCTTCCAAGCTCTCCATTGTGTCCATCTTTCCTACCACTGCTAGTCTTACCCTTTGACTACCATGACTCTTAATTGTGTTCCCTACACAGCCTCAGTAGTACTATTTCTTAGAAATGCAGATTCTTGGGTTCCATCCCAAACTTGCTGAATCAAACTTAGGCCTAGGGCCCAGCACTCTATTTAGCAAGTTGAATCTCATATACACTAACATTTAAGGATCTAGATCTGCATGCAACGAAAAGTCCTCCCTCTTGGCATAAAAGGTCCTTTGTGATCTCACCCGACCCTGCTTATGCAGGCCTCCTCCCTGCATCCTGTTACATAAAAAATGTGCTGAGTGCTTTCCTGGACTGACAGCACCTGGTGAACTTTCTCTCTTCCCTTACTTCCTCCACCATGCCGAAGTATAAGGAGTGCAGCCTCTATAGATAATAGTGAACCTGGGTTGGAAAAGACTTTTGGCTGTCCCTGTAACCAGTCAGAATGGGTTGCTTCTAAATAACAGTTAATCTTCAATATCATAATTTATATCTAAAAACTGTCCTTTCTGATTCTTGTAAATAGAACACCATTTACATTTGGAAGAGAAGGTTTCTCTGTTTCATATGAGATATTTGGGTAAATTATAAGGTAGAAGGGAATAAAGTTGATTTTGAAAGGCACAGATTCCCCCTTTCATTTGACAGTTATTTTACCCTGACAGCATTTAATGTGAAGTCCCTGTAGCCAGAGAAGTATCTTATTAGGCTTTAATTAAAAGCACAAGACTTTTAGTTTTCCTTGTCTTCTATCTTTTCTCCCCCATTTTTCTCCTTTTTTTCCTTCCTCTTAACTTGCATATTCTCTCTTCCCCAGCCCCCTCTGTCTCCTCTTCATTATCCTTTAACATTTAAAATATTTTGGACTTGGCTAATCTCTATGGATAGAAACTTCGCTTTGAGCAGGATATTGATTACCAAATATGGTATTGCTGCTAAAGATGTTGGAGGAATGTGGCTTGTATTCTAAGCCTCCAGTCTCTGAATAAGCTGCCAAGCAAATTAGATCATTTTAACTTCTGAGCCTTTTTTTTTTTTAATAAAGATGCTGGAACATCGATTTGGAACATGATGTTGATATTATTTTAACCCAAACAAGAGAAGGGTATGAAGAAGAGGGCAGGGAGTGAGGAGACTCAGTGGAGCATGCTTTAGGACGTGAGCCACCAACCCAGGTTGTATAAGAAACAAACACATTGTGTGGAGCTTCATTTGATTCTACAACACCAGTGAATGAACTGAGGCATAGAATTTGCATCATTATTTAAGGATAGAAGCCTCAGAGGATCCCAAACAAGTCCCAGGATGCTCTTATAATGTTATTCCCCAGTGGTCTTAGCTGAAACCCTCACATTGATGTGGGCTGTGATCCAGGAAAGTTGATTCTTCCCAGGAAGATTGGTGGAGTTCAGTGCCAGGGAAAACAGCCTGAAATTCTTATCATGTTCCTACTGTAGGTGTCTGATAGGATGCAATGTGAATGTGCAAGACCTTCTACAACATCTCTTTAAATGATAGCCAGTGACTATGCTTGTCTCCCAGCAAAGAATACAACTCTCCAGTTCCATATTAGGAAATATTTATTCTGTTGTGATAGTGGCTTTGATAGGGTAAAATGCTGTAAGCTGGCAGAATCAAATACCACTTGAAGCACAGCAGTTTGTTTCTTTCCTTGTGTATGTTTTTGGAAAGACAGTATTGAAATTTCTCAAATTAAGACAGCAAAACCCAAGACAGATTAAAAGAAATTTCTTGTGATACACTCATAATCCCAGCAGTTTGGAAGGCTGAGGCAGGATGATCTTGAGTTCAAAGGCAGCCTCAGCAATTTAATAAGACCCTAAGCAATTTGGCAAGACCCTATCTTTAAATAAAAATATAAAAAAGGCTGGGGATGTGACTCAGTAGTTTAGCACCCTTGGGTACAATCCCCTGTACCAAGAAAAAAAAAAAAGAGTTTCTTAATGTTTTACAAAATTGATACCCCTTTCACTTTTGTTGATTAGGTCTACACAAATGGACCGTCCACCCTCCTCCCTCATTTTGCCACCCTCAGTTGGGTTCTTCTCAGAGGATGAACAAATCAGACTTGGGAAGAAATTCCACCCACTCCCAGATGTCTCTGGGTCAAGGATCTGTGGCTTTTGTTGTACTCCCTGAGGACCTCTCTTTCCCCCAACCCCATTTCCTCTTATAGCTGTTACTGTCTTGTCCTCAGCTCTTCTTACATCTTTGAAACTGAGCCTGTGAAGTTCAGAGTCATCCTAGTCTACAGAATAAGATTCTTACTCATTTCTTATGGAAATTCTCATGTTTTTCTTCAAGTTAATTGGGAAAAAAGCAAGGGAAATTTGGGGACCATTGGGCCCATGTATGTACATTATATGTTTTTAGAAAACTAAATGGACAAACATTGGATGTGAGTCTATTTTGGGTGTGCATTCAGGCACTATTACATAGTGCCACCTGCTTCTTGACACTATTGCTGATGTCTAGAATTCATGACATTGAACGGTTTTCTTTGGGATCTTGGTTATGCTTAGTAACAAAGGCATTCTTTAATGGAAGGGCTCCAAAATAGAACTTGCTTTGCCCTAACCCTTGTTATTGATAGTGTTTGTTATTTGTCTTATTGAATATGATCCTTTTTAAAAAGGCAAACTGCAATAATAAGGACAAGGGTAACTGAAATTATTGTCATCTCTGAGGATTGCGTCTTTTTTGTCCACCTTGTAGCTAGAAAGTTCACTATTATCAGAATCAAGACAACCACATGAAGCCTTCAGACTTTGTGTAATTCATAAGCTAACTGCAATCTAATGATTTGTTATGTACACATATCAACTGCTTAATTCCTATTTCTGAGTAATGCAGAATAGTTGCATTAACCTTGTAAAGCTCTAAGTTAGGAGATGGATTCTTTTTCTCCATATATAGATAATGAAATGAAAAACATAGTCAGAGTCCAGGCCTCCTAGGACCTAGGTGTCAAGATTCCAGTGTTGCCCAGTGTTTCATTTTCATTATATTGTATTGCAATTGCATCTTTCATTCCTATTAGTAGTCATCTATCCAGGTTTTTAACTGTACTAGTGATTTGCTGGTGTACAAAACGTTTTTGTCCAAGAATAAAAGGAATAGTTGAAAAGCTTTTTCAGTGGAATAAGCTAAATCCTCCTGCCTTTGTGGACACATTTGTGTTGTGAGGTTTTGTATGTTCTATGTAAACAGAAAGAAAGCTCTTGCTGACCTTTTTTTCCTGATAGGCTAGGGTTTAACTGGTGTTGTTTATTTTGTCACCATTCTGGTTTGACTCTAAGGAAATGAAAACATCTTCCACTTTTCTTTATTTCCAAAGGGCATCCGCTTTGATCCTGAAATTCCGCAAACACTACGACTAGAGTTTGCTAAGGCAAACACGAAGATGGCCAAGAACAAACTAGTAGGGACTCCAAACCCCAGTACTCCTCTGCCCAACACTGTACCTCAGTTCATTGCCAGAGAGCCATGTAAGTTGATCTATTTTTCATTTTGTTAAAAACTTATTTCATGTGCTGCATGTGAGATTACACCATGGAATGTAGTGCCAGCTGATTCTCATCTTTTATTTCTGTGAAGAGATTGCCTGTTCTTGCTGTCTGAATACCAAACACAGATGGTGATTGGCTGCTGATTGGTGTTGGTGATTGGCTGTCCCAAAACATGGTTCACCTTGAACAGAGCCATAACTTCTTTCTGTTGATGTGCTACGGATTTCCTTTAATGTGATATTGATCATTGTGAGCATGCCCTTATTTGCCTTGGCGTATAAACTCTTTCTCCCTGAACCCTTGGACAGAAGAATCGGTTCTCAGCATTCACTTTATTCTTGTTTATTGAAGGATATCTCTTCTGTGGCTTTGGAAAAATAGGATGTTAAAATTGAAAGAAACAAAACTTAAGAAGTAAGTGGTCTAATTTTTTAAAACTGTTTAGCCCTAACTGTAGAGGAAATAGTAGATATACACAAAGAATTCATATATTGGAACAATCAATTCTTGCAAATTAATACCAATAAAGTTTTAAGGAAATTTGGGGCTTCCTGTTTTAAAATTATTTGGTAAAGGACTTTGGCTGATTGTTAAAGAAGTCTTTTACCCCACATTGGTGAGCTTAAATGTCCAGACTGTGATTTCTGCTTTTGAATGAAATCCTTAAAAAGGTTGTCTTAGTTTTCTTTTTCAAGCTCAGAAGTGGCAAAAGTGAGGCGTGAGACAGTTTTCAAGTTTTCCAAGCCATATGTAATTTAATGTGGAAGGGTATTTGTGGAAACCAAGTTACTTAACCAAGTTATTTGGAATATTTCTGTCCCATTGTTCTTGATCTTCTTGCCAAATCACACGATCATGATCATCTTCCTGCATTCCTTAACAGTATGCTCCAACTATTCTTATTGAAACTGAAGGGCACATGGGTTCCTGGCTCCCCCCAACCCCATGTCGTGTGTGTGGGGGATTTAATCTGGTCATGGTGGAAGTTAAAGTTATTCTGTAGCTCATTTACCCTTGAAAAAGCTGATGCTAGCCAATATAGTTTATCTCCCAATAAGTTCTAAAAATTTTCTTTATAACCAGAAAGTCATGACCAAGGAAAAATTATTCTTTCATATTCTAGGAAAAGTTGAAACCTTTATTTATTTGAGGAGAAAATATAAACAAACATTCATCTTATAATGCAATTGCATTACAGGAGGATAAAGGGACATTCCGTACATAATTGTTAATATTAAGCATTTAGCTCAGTGCTTTATATATTGTATATGTTTGATAAATATTTATTACTGAGTGGATAAACTGAGATTTTTATTTGGTTGTTCATAGAATTAATAGAGGCATTTGTGTGCCTCTTAATTTCTGTCTGAACTTTCTTCTCTCTTGATAAGTTATCAGAAAATAGTATTTTTCGAATGCCTTTGTTTTAGTGAAATTTGTCTGCCTCACATCTCAGTATCATTTAAAAAGATTTAATTCAGACAGGAAGTATGATGTTGGTGATGTTAAACTTTGGGCTTTCAGTACTTCGCTGAATGCTTTTTTTTTTTTTTTTGAACCTCAAACACTCTTCTCAGTCTTTTACAACACCCCTGTGAAATAGGTAGCAAGGGATGGGACCACATATAGAGATAAACAAGCTGGCTACTCACAACCCTTGAAGTTCCAGGAGAGCGCGGAGCAGAGTAGAGTACTCTACTCCAGCTAGCTCTGCTCACTTCCCTTCCCTTTGTATGGAACAGCTCAGAAGTAGTCAGATAGTTTCCATGGCAGGGTTAAAACTTGTCCAGCTGCTCATAACAAAGCAAACTTGAAGTTTTAGAAAAAATATCAAATAGCCAAGTGTATTCTTGAGAAAATAAGTTAGCATGATTTCTCTTAATATAGCTTCTTACGACAGAGGGGTCTTGACACATAACAACTTCACTATGACTCAGATAGACCTTATCACCCTTACCATTCCCTCTGGGAATCCTGACTTTTCCTATCACATATACATATTTAGTGCTTTCCTGTTAGCACATTAGAGACTAAGAATGCTGTGGTGTGTATCCAGACCAGCAAATGAATTTCATTGTACCTATAATCCGTACTCGAGGTGGTCAGTTTCATCGTCTGTCAAGTGTAGACTGTGCTGAAGTCAGAATTTTGGGTGTGGAAAAACCCTGAAGGCTTCTGTTACAGGTCATGAGATGAGCTTTTATACCTGACTTTTTTTTTTTTTTTAAAGAGAGAGAGCAAGAGAATTTTTTAATATTTATTTTTTAGTTTTCGTTGGACACAACATCTTTATTTTATTTTTATGTGGTGCTGAGGACCGAACCCAGTGCCCCGCGCATGCCAGGCGAGCGCGTTACTGCTTGAGCCACATCCCCAGCACTATACATGACTTTTTTTGTTAAAATTTTTACATAGTAGCTGAAAAACACTCATTGCCATCACCAAAGGAAGAATGTTCTTTAATCTGATTATCCAACAAACATTTACTTGAACTCCTAATTCTCAAATGAGCACCCAGTGTGCTAGACCCTGGGGAGAAGAAAACTGGTTACTGCCTTAACAAAGTTGGCAGTCCAAGGAGTTGGCAGTGGTCAAAAGTTGTCAGAAAATCTTGGCCCTTTATTATAAAAATGTCAAAAAGATTCTGCAGCTTAGTCTAGATTGCCTCCAGGTCTGACTGCCATATATGCTGAGCACCTACTCTGTTCTTGACAGGCATGAAGAATGAACAAACCAAGTTTTATAGCCCAGCAGGGCACTTGGTAGCCTTGGCTTTAGACATGAAGACATCAGTAAGAGTTCTCGTCTGAAAATTATTGATCACCCTTGTGACCTTTAAGGAAAACATTTTAATCTTGCTGTGCTCCTGTTCCCATAATCTCTGAAGGAATTATGTTTCGTTCACTTGCTTATTATGAGAGCTAAATAAAACAGTATCCCAAGACTGCATTCAGGATTAAGTAGGAGTATTAATATGTGTAGAGCACTAGCACTAGGTGAATAAAAAGTACAATTCTCATTTTCTTTTTTTTTTTCCCTTTTAATAAAAAGCATTGGGTTGCCTTTCCTTCCTAATAGTTAAACAAGTGTCATCATTGTGTGACTATAGACAATTGTCCTTGGAAGTTAGGAGAAAGGATGAATGGAATTCACGTATAGTCCCAGGAAAGCAGTATATCTTCCTAACTAAATTTATATTAATAGGATCACTAACTAGAATAACTTCTTTTGTTCTTTTATATGTAATAAAATTTGAGTTAAGCTATAAGAAAGGAGTTAAGGGATACAGGGGCTGGGAGAGTAGCTCATAGGGCACATACTTAGTATGTGTGAATTTCTGGATTTGATCCCAAGCATCAAAGAGAAAGAGAGAGAGAGAGAGAGATGGAAAAAATATAAATTATGTAAAATTATGCATTAGGATTGTACAGGAAGGTTGTATGCTGTAGTATAAGAACTCTGCTTTAGAAAGGAGAAAGGGGCAAGTCACCATCTTTGATTTTTGTTTTCTTCATCTACAAAATGATACTATGAATAAAATATTCTGCAAGCATTGTACATGAATTATCTCATTCAGTTCTCAGCACTACTTTTCAGTTGAAGAAACTGAGGCCTAGGAAGGCTTAGTAACTGATGAGGTTATACAGTCAACAAGTGTTATAGGCTAAATTCTGTTTTCTGAACTTCAGAAATTGAAATCTCAACTCCTCATACTGCAAGATGAACCATATTTGGAAATAAGATGATTAAGTTCAAATGTTAGAGACCTAATCCAGTATAACTATTGTCCTTATAAGGAAAACAGATACCAGGTATGTGTGGATACAGGAGATAGCACCTGTAAAACCCAGGAGATAAACCTGCCAACACCTCAATCTCGAGCTTCCAGCCTCCAGAACTGTAAGAAAATAAATTGCTATTTAAGCTATGAGGTCTGCTATTTTGTTATGGCAGCTGAAGCAACCTAATATGTCAAGCAATATGGCCTGGATTTAAATCTGGACTCTCAGTTTTGTAACGATCTAGTTACTTGACCTTTCTGTGTCTCCATTTTCTGAGCTCTAAATGGCAATTAAAATTGACCCTTCCTATAGGTTATTGATTGATTGATGTATGTAAAGATTAGAAAAGGGCCATAGGGACAGTACTCAGTGACCATCAGTATGACCACTAGTATGTATAGGTGTGGCAGTTTGTGTCAAAATGCATGTTTATGTGTCTTTTGTCCCTCATCATTATGAGGCCTATTGTTTTTCTACATTTGTACTCAGCATATAGAATGTAGAAATACACATGGAATGTTTTAAATATGCCACAGATTTATTTTTATGCATTTTTATTTGGTCATAATGCCTTATTCCCAGCAAGTACAGAAGGAGGTGCACTTTAGGGAACTTTGTAAATTTCCAGTGTTATTGAGGGAATAATGAAATATACATATTCATGGTGTCTTAACTTAGTTATTTTTATCAGGCTCTAATTGTAAAAAATATTTTGAGTTTAGATTGCTTAGTATACCTTATTATTGTAGTATCTTTAAAGAGGGAACAGCCAGTGTTTAATAGTTTTCCCCTTTTAATTCAGTTTTTGTGGCACAAATATCAAAAGACTCCAAAAATCTGCAATAATCCAGTTTCCTGTATTCCAATCCCAGGGTTTCTGATTCTTTGGAGTTTGGACTAGGATTTAGCTCTGTATTTTTAAAAGCTCCTTGGGCTTAATATTTGAGGATCACTAATAGAGCAAAGAATTAAAAGTTAAATTCTAGTATATTAAATTCTAGTAAGTTAAATTCTTCTTTCTGCTCACACACTCCCTTATACCTACACTTTACCTCCCCACTTCCAACCCAAAGCATGCTCTGTTACATTGTTTCTCTTAAATACCTGGTGAGTACATAATCTTTTGGTGAATAATCACTTCCTTGTTTACCTGCCACACCCTTGGAATTTCCCATTTATCCAATACTCACCTGGGCT